CCAGTCGAAGGTCTCCAGGCAATTTTCTCATCAAGCAGCTGAGTGTCCTTTTCTCTCACGCTGCTCACCCACTGGGTCCAGGGACAGGGGACTGGGGAACGGTGGCATGGGTTGGCTTCTCCTCCCTCCCAAACAGGTGGCAACAAAACCACAAACACTCATTTTCAAATCACATATGGCTTCTCTGACCCCGTCAAATAACTTTATTCACACAAACGTCCCTTAATTTACAAAGCCTCAATCATTCATACACATTAGGGGAATCCACAGTGTTCAAGGAACTTAAATATAATGTATCATACCAACCCAAGTAAACCAAGTACAAAAAATATTCATATAAAGTTGTTCACACATAGGTCCTAGATTACCAGCTTCTGTGCAAAAAAAGAAAAGGAAAATAGATGAACTAGTATTTGAAACGAACTTTGTGCCTGGGTTAAAACCTCTCTCACATCCAAGTCAGCCCCACACGACTATTAATTATCACAACATACTCCCCTGCTGATAGGAAGGGGCCCCTGGGGCACAAAAGATGTCTAGGCCTCGCTTTTGTTGCCCTCTGCAATCTTAGGGGCGCTCCGGGCAACCAGTGGCAGTGGGGTCATCTCTCAGTGACGGCTGTGGAAGCTTACATTAGTCACACCTCCCGGTTTCCCTGTAAGGGCCATCTCTTCAGACAAGAGTCGCTGCCCTCCAAGCCAGAGGTGGGCCTGTGTGGTTCTGAAGGCTGTGCCTCAGCCCAGGGTGGGAGGATGGCCGAGGTAGTGTCTCTGGACCTCAGCCCCAAGCCCCTCCGTCTGAAGAGCTGAGTAGTTCAAGCTTGGCTGTTGTCAGGTTGCTAGTTCCTAGGAGACTCCAGCAGCTGTGTCTGTCTGGGGACCCCAGACAGACCTGGGAAGGGGAAAGGAGTCATGGGGGACAATAATGCAAGAGCCCCACTAGAGCCCCAGCCACCAGTGCCCCAGATGGGGGGTTGCAGGAGCATGATCAAGGGTGGGAGGCATACTTGGTGGGCGGGATGGAAGCCCAGGTGGAATGGAACAAGGCCAGGGCAGCTAGGGTCCCCTCCTTCGGGGGTGGAAGCCCAACTCCTGCTTCTCCAAGCTTCCGACACCCCGAGGCTGAAACCCGGACATCCATCCTAGTAAGATTTGTCTTGTAGGAAGGCCAACAGTCAGTATCATAGAGTCCCACAATGCTAGCTCTTCTTTTCATAGAAAAAGACTCAAGCAAAAAGAATCATCTTATTGCTCCAAACACTGGTTCTCTAGGAGGCAACTGGTATGTCAAGGAGCTGAGAATCTTGGGGGAAGGGGCTGAGAGGCGGGGAATGTCCAGGGGCAAGGCTGCGGGAGGGGGCGAGTGGTCTTAGCACCGCAGGTCAGGAAGCAGAGGGAGTGCAGGGCTGTGCCCCTGCCCCGGGCATCTCTGCCTTGACTCACTCTGGGCCACCGATGGCAATGCCAGGAGGCGGCCAGGCCCTGTCCAGAGGGGCAGTCTCCACCTGGTGTTGGGCACATTTCTCCTCTGGCTGTAAACAGGTGATTTCTCAAGTAAACATTTAATACGCTCCCTTGACAGGCAGCCTCGAGCATCTGGACGGGAGCACAGAATCCCCATCCTCCTGTCCCAGTGCTTCTGGGATGATAAGAGGCTGAGGCCTGCAACCGTCGTCAGTCCCTGGTGCCCAGAAGAAGCCAGTCTATCGTAACGGACCGGGACATCCTCCTAGCTACAGGTTGAGAGGCAGGGGCCTGCTGGGTAGTAAGGGGCAGACAGTGCACCTGTCTGAAGCACAGCTTTTCTGTCCTGGGCTAAAGCTGCTAGGGAGTGCCCTGGTGGAGGTGGGAGACGTGTGCCTGGCTGCAGCCCTCAGAAAGGGGTTGGGGGAGGGGGGTGACGGGAGGGTGATCCTTCTCAGGCGGGTATCTGTGAATGGGAACGGGAGTTTACATGGACACAGATAGGGAGAAAAGAACCACCACACTCCAAGGGAGGCCGGGGGTCTGGTCAGAGGAAGGCAATGGAGTAAGGCACTATGATCGGTCTCGCTGATTCCTCTCGCTGAGGGGGAAACTGAGCTCAGACCCACAGGGCTGAGGCCCTGACCCTCCCTCCAACAGGCCACACTTTTCATAGATCCAAGGAGAGAATAACTGCTATTTCAAGGTTAGGAAATGTCTAGAACTTGGGACAGGCCTAACCAACTTGGTGGTGCTGTGATGATGCACCGCCGGGCTGCTGCCTGGCCTGAGCCCCAGGTGGAGTGCGTGCAAAGGCAGGAGGGGCGAGGAAGCTGACACGGTGGGAAGAGGTGGCCAGTGGCTGGGAACGACAGCAGGAGCTAGCCAGGCCTGCTCCCGAGGCCAGTCCATGGACTGGGTGGAGCCAGCGTTTACTGAGGGCGGACTTCCACCTCGCGGCCTGGTGCCTCTGGTGGACAACGTGGAGAGCAGGGGAGGGAGAAACAGGGAGGACAGGCACTTGGGGCTACCGAGGGAAGGAGGTCCCAGCACCAAGCAGGGCAGGCTGGGAGTCTTGCAAGATAAGGGTGCGTGGAAGCTATCCCTTCCAGGCTGCCCACCTCGCCCAAGGGGATGGACATCCTGTGGCCTACAGGGCATACTCTGGTGCCAAGACAAATAACAAAGGGGGAGACTGTAGCTCCAAGACCTTATTCAGACAAAGCTGAGAGACCTGGGGAGGGCAGAAGAAAAAGCAGAAGGAAGAAACTCGCTAGGCTTGCGCCCTCACTAGGGACTTTACAGGATGGGCTGCAGGCGGGGAGTGTTGGGGTGTGGAGTTTGGAGACTGTTTTTCCCATTTGCTCATGTGCAGTGAGACAGCTGCCCCAAGGGAAGCCAGGCAGGGTGCGTGTGTGTGTGTGTGTGTGTGTGTGTGTG